CTTATGCCTCTTGAGGTATTTGTGCTACTGCCTGTGTAACTGTTACCTTTAATGATCCCTGTCTCCTTAATTGTTTTTCTTTCTGGTGCAGTTGTTGATCACTGGCAATGAACTGGTTCTCGTTTGATATTAGTTTATTCTTGGGATTTATTTTGTTATGATTTGACAATAAAAAGTTTAAGTCTTTCTCAAGAATTAATCTGAATTTGAGTCAAAAGAATTTTTTTTTGGTTGTTGTTGTGTAATGAGTTTTGCATAGCAACAACATGTTCAGCCAGCATGTGCCATTTTATTGGCACTTCACTTCTTATAATGACTGGTTTGGGAGAAAATTTGCTGGGTCCTTTGTGATAGTAATCCCTTTGTCATGGAAAGAATGTATAGTCTGCTTTCTATGTAGAAAATATGATCTTTAATTGTTAATGAGTTGTAATTGGGCTATTTCTACAGATATCTGGTGAAGCAGTTGGTGAAGTAAGAATTGTTTCAGATATGCATGAGCGTAAAGCTGCAATGGCTCAAGAAGCTGATGCATTTATTGCTCTCCCGGGTAGTTACCTGAACAGCTCTCCAAATAGTTTTAAAAATAATTGATCATAGTTATGTCTTATTACATGTGAATGCTACTAAAGAGTAAAGATGCTCTTTTATATACTGAAATTTGATTTGATTTTTGGTGTACCGGATTTCTGTACTGAATGTATAATATTGACTGATTACTTTCTTTCTAATACCTTCCCTCCTTTCCTTATAATTAGGAGGATATGGAACTATGGAAGAGCTGATGGAGATGATAACTTGGGCCCAACTTGGAATTCATAAAAAACCGGTAACCTGATGTTTTTACTTTGTAGCAAAAAAATCCTTGGTATACTATTATAATCATATATTAACTCAATATAATCCTGCACAGGTTGGTCTGCTGAATGTTGATGGCTACTATAACTATTTACTTGCGTTATTTGACAATGGTGTTGAAGAAGGCTTTATTAAGCCTGGCGCTCGGAATATAGTTGTCTCAGCTTCTTCTGCCAAAGAACTTATGATGAAGATGGAGGTTTGACTCCCCATTTTTATCTTAACATTTGATAGGAAACTTTAGAAAATATCTACCTGCAAAATTGCATTCTAATAGTGAATTGATGAATGATAGATTGCTTTACTAAACTCATAATAATAATAATAAAAATAAAATTAATTGAACATATGTGCTTGTTGGTAAATCGTTGTAAGGGTCCTGCTAAGGATGCAGTGAACTGATCAGTTAAAGGGTTGGCACTCAATGCCTAAAATACATCTTGGACATAAGAATCTTTCCATGATTTCTTACTTGATCTCATGAGATGAGAATAGACTTGGAGCTCATGTTTTATCTTATATTTACCTCCTTTAAGGAAATTTGCTATGTGATAGGTGTCAAATATGAGTTTGCTGTTTTTCTGTACTTGTAAACCTGAATGGTATATGTAGGCTAATAGGATATTCCAATTTTCAAACTCTTAAAAAATGCTTATACATTAAAATGAGTTCGAAGAGCTGTGTTTCTTTTCTTTTTTTCTTTTCCTATTTTGAATAAAAAAAGTGTTTAAAGTATTCTGTTACTGTGTTAATTAAAACTCTAAATGCTGAATTCACCTTTTTGCAGCAATACTCTCCTTCCCATGAACATGTGGCCCCTCATGAGAGCTGGAAGACGAAGCAATTAGGTGATTATCCAGGACAAGAAAATGTATAATGAAACTTTGATTGGTGGAAGGTTTTTCCAAATATTGTTTTCTGATGTGATTCTTCATCACTTAAAATGTATACAAGAGTCTCTGCAGATGGGGCCATAATGTTGTTCGTTACTGTGCATTGATTTTATGAAGTGCTAGTTAATGTGCATTGCTGTTTTGCATCATTTCACTTAGTAGTCAATCTGAAAGTCATTGTAAAATAGTCTTATTTGGTTGTTACTTAATACTATTTAGGGTGTGCATGACAACTATTCTATTCTCTAGCACTGTTTCTGAAAAGAAACAATTTTTTTCTATTCTATGCCTTAGAACAGTTTCTGAGAAAAAAAATGTGTTTGATAACATGTTATATTTTTATTCTGAGAATGAGAATTGTGTTTGATAACACAACAAATAATATAATAAAAAATAATTCCTATTAAATATAAAATTTTTTTGGATCATCACTTTCCTTTCCATATGGTGTGGTTGTGGTGGTGGTGGCGACGAGTGGCATGGTGGCGGCGGCGATACGGTAGTGGTGGTGGCAGTGACGTGGTGAAGATAGTGGTGGTGGCTGTAACAGCAGTGGCTGCGACAATGGCGGTGGTAATGATGGCGGCGGCGGCGGTAGTGGTGGGGATGGTGATGGTGGAGGTGACGACAGTGGCTATGACAATGGTGGTTGGTGGCGGCAACAATGGTAGCAGTGGCATGATGGTGGTGGTGGTTGTGAAGGCATCATGGTGGTGGTGGTGGCAGTGCCTGCGGCGGTGGTGATAGGTGACAATGGTGGTGGCGATGGCGTGGTGATGATAGTGGCGGGGGTGGTGTAATGGTGGTGATGGTGGTGTAATGGTGGTGATGGTGGTTGGTGGCGGCGGCGACGACGGTGGCGGTGGTGATGGTAATGGCTGCGGCAATGGTAGGGGTGGTTGGTGACAGTGGTGGTGATGGTAGTAGTGGCGATGGGGGGGTGGCAGTGGTGGCGATGGGGGTGGTGGCAGTGGCGTGTGATGGTGATGGTGGCGGTGACGGCAGTGGTTGCAATGGTGGTGGTGGTGGTTGATGGCAGTAATGGTGGTGGTGACGGTGACGATGATAGTGGTGGTGGTGGTGGTGGCGGCAGCGGTGGTAGTTATGGTAGTGGTGACGGTGGCATGGTGGTAGTGATAGTGGAAGTGGTGGTAATGGTGGCATGGTGGTAGTGATAGTGGAGGTGGTGGTAATGGTGGCGGTGGCATCGTGGTGGTGAGGGGTGGTGACGACGACACTAGTGGTACGATGACGGCGGCGACGATGGTGGCGACAGTCATGTCGGGATGATGGTGGCGGTGGTGATGATGGTAGAGGTGGAGAGTGATTGAGAGAGATAAGTGTTTTTCATTTTGTGCCCGGGAACAAAAAAACAAAAATTTTCTGATTCTTTTTTCTGTTCCTCAGCACAAAAATTAAACCGGTTCATCCCGGGAACAAAAAAATAAACCGATTTTACCAAACGAGTTTCCTATCCATTTCTGTTCCCGGGAACAGAAATTAAAAAAGAATTGATTTCGGGGATGTTGTCATGCACACCCTTAAAGGGAAAAAGTACAACGAAATGGAAAGACATGGCAAGCATTTTGATAAAAACCTTGGGATACACCACCCCAAAAGCTAGCTCAAAAGGTAGAAATACCTTATAAATCCCACATTGTTGTTCATACAACCAATGTGAGACTTCAAGTCTCATACCTTGCAAATAAGATCGTAACATTCCACCACACTTCGCAGCCTCGGCACCCACGTGGGCTGGCTTTGCGCTAGTCTTTTACTAGTCTCGGGCGAACACTGCAATGCCGGTATCACCACCAACGCCACTCGATTGCCACCGAGAGACATAGTGGAAGACTCTGATACCATTTAATAAGAATCTTGAGATGCACCACCCCAAAAGCTAGCTCAAAAGGTAAGATCATAGGAGTGTCCAAGACCTTATAAACCCCATATTAGTTGCCCATACAACTAATGTGGGACTTCATCCTAACACATTTACTGGGCATAATCTCATTTGTGCACGGTGGGGTGGCTCCACTATGCAGTGGCTGAATTAGACAATACAGCTTAATCGTGGACATCCTAGAATTTAGTGAACCTTAAACCTCTTCTATGGTACCATATAAGGAAGTAGAATTAATCTCCATAATGTGGCAACCATTATACAGTCATATTTTTAAAAGAATTTCGTTTTATGAGATTTGAGAACCCTACCTAAATAACAGCTTTGTAAATGGTTGCTACTAGGATAATGGACTATATTTAAGGTTAAAAGAAAAAAAAATCCTTGGAATTAAGATGCTCATAGTACAAGTATATATTGGTAAAATATATGTGGTGTCTCAGTGTCTGTTGGACCACTGTTAACATATCCGAAATGTAGCTCTCAACTATATATATAAATTTGGTTGAACATCAACTATAGAAATATTACTCTTGTGCTGAAACTTGACAATTTTTTTTGCGCTTTCAAGTGTAAGCTGGCCATATTGGAGGGTGGCAACTGTGTCGGATAATCGGACATGGATTATAAAGGAACTATTCATAGTAGCATCCTTATTTTAGTGGTTTTTCCCTCTGATCATCAGTGATTGACTTAGTTCTTTGTCCTCCTTTTCTTTTAAACGATTGTCAAGTCACTTCTAGCCTCATGGGGCCTCTCGAATTATCAGCGGTCGAGTTTGTTTTGCATCATGGGTTTTTTACTACAAAGTTCTATAAGCTTCTTTGTCCTTGTCATGGTGGACCAATTGATTTCCTTAAATTATGAAGTCAAGGTCAGTGGTAACTTCATAAAGGGACCCCTCTACCATTCAGTCGTTCCTGATCATAATTTAGGCATGTGGAATGTCTTGTCAAAACTTTTAATACAACAAAGTTCTCCACAACTATAATTTCAAAACAAAGGAATATATTTAAATATTTATTTTATTAAAGAGTTTTCTTCTTTTTCTTAGTTGTGTAACTTTATATTAAATCATGAGCTGCAGCCACATACATGAATTATCACATCTTGGAACTTCCAGAATCACTCAACTTCTATGTTATCCTCTTGCTAAATTAACCTATCAGGATAAGAATCTTTCCTTTCAACTGCGATTTTGAAGCATTCTGCTGGAATCAATTCTTTTGCCTCGATGATAATAATCTAGGGGGAATGAAGTGCACCCTTGGCATATTATTCTAACACAAGCAACACCTATATGCAACGATCACTACTTCACTAGTGCACAGGAATAAAATGTTCTTTATTAAAATTTGTTTCCCTGCAAATAAAACAAATTCCATTTGTTGGTTTGCCATCTTTACTGTCAAATACAATCCTCAAAAGCCAAAATAGTGCAAGTTCAGTAGCAGTTTTTATAAGGTGTAACAAATATTTCATCCAAACTATGTGAGCCAGAAGGAATGATCCCAAAAGTATTCATGCCCTCTGATGCAGCAGCAACTGTACATATACATACTACACCCTAGCCTTAGCAGACGGATTAGAAAGCAACTTAATGCTTAGAAATCATGTGAAGGATGAAAGAACATTTTTCAACTCATGTCAACTCAAGCTTTTTCTTTGGAAGATGATGATAGTAAATGATTTAATGTTGCCGCTTGAATGACAGCACTTGGACTTGTCTCCCTTATACGGGAAGAACTGGATCTTCTAGGACCAAAATTCTTATCCACATTGCTTCTTTTTCGTCGTGAAGAACATTGAAGGAACCTCACTAGCCGTGTTGAACCAACAAGTAAAATCACACCCACAATAATAAGTATCCTGCAGCATAATGTTTCATACGTATGAACTTATTTCTGACATAAGAACATGAATATTTCCATATCGTTTGAGAAATAAGAATTAATAGATTGCATCCTAGTATACCTACCGAAATGGTCTCGATCTATATTTTAAATTTTTTTTCTCTTGATAAAGTTATTCACCAACCCACATAAAGACTGGCACAGCAAGTTAGATGAAAGTCACCAAATGTCTGTAACAGACGAATAAAAATGATGTAGCATCTTCCAGATGGAAAGAAGTACTGAAGTGGTGGGAGTTTATTTCAGCATTGTTTATGTTAGGAAACTTGGAAAGCAAGGGATGTGAAATCTTTAACTTCCGATTCATTGGTCAGATAAATGAGATGAGAGTCATCAATTTGGATTCTTTATTCTGGGGTGGGGAAGAGATTTTCTCCATGCATGGGATGTGATATTTCTCATTTTTCCATGAATATTACGAAACTCTATCAATCTAAAAATTGTACTCGTTTCCGATTCCAGAAGACCAGAATACCCTGCTATTTCTGAAGTCCTCTTTCCTTTTTGTGTGTGTGCATGTGTTAATTCATATGTGAAAAAATCTGAAGGGTTGAAGCTTAATTTGGACTTTTCCATTATTAAAAAGAGAAAAAGAAAAAAAAAATCCGTAAAACACAAAGCATAGCATCTTATATTACCATCCAAGAAGAAGTGCCAAGCGAGCTTTTGGGGCAGAAGGGAGTCGCTCACCCAAAGCAAGCATCCCGGCAAGTACACCAGTCAAAATTGATGCCACAGCTGCACATGTAGAAACTACAATAGCTCTCCCATGCTTTAGACCACGTGTCTGCAGAGTGGGCAAGATAAGATTATTTCATTAAAGAGGCTACCATATGTGGAATTGGCAGCATAGAACTTGAACAGGTATCTAGGAAGTTTGACTGAAACAGGATACATGTTGTCCATGCTTAAACAGTGTAACAGTTCTCACAAAAAGTATAAAACTGGTCTTCAGAATACCTGGTAGTAAAAGCCCGTACCACTACAACACATACTGATCATGATGCACATAGGAACCAACAGCTTGTGAAAACCTTGTTCTAGAAATAGAAATCCCATCTTTGATATAACAGATGATATCCTGCATTGAGGTGTTAACAGAATTAAGAGTTGAGATATATAATCAAGTTCTGCTCTCTCAAAATTAAGAGTTAATACGTATAATCAACTCTGCTCTCTCTCTTTCTCTCTCGTTTAAATACTAATATTTGCAATATCTGAGTTTTGTTCATTGCCAAATGCCAATAGAAAGCAGTGACCTTCCATCTAAACTAACAAATCTAATTAAAGCTGAGTTTAGCCTCCAAGATGGTGTTGATGATTGTCAAAACAGTGATAAGCTAATGATCTGCTTGACATGGCACAACAGTCTAAGCAGCTAACACAAAATTGTCAAAAACTTAGATGGTGTTGATGATTAATAATAAAGAAGTTTCTTGTAATATTTTTCAAAGGCTTATCATCATCGTTCTGCTACTGGTATTGCATTTTCCTTGGGGATTCTCTTGTTTCGTAGTAAGAAGCAAAATCTTACTGCTAGTTCTAGCATTAAGCCTGGTGTCATGTTCTTGTTGATACTACCTCCGAAATCCTTTGTATTCAATGGCTTCTTGAAGACTTGGATGTTGCTTAGGAGTGCCCCACTGATTTATATTGTGACAACAAAAGTGCTATTCAAACTGTTTACAATGATGTTTTCCATGAGCGCACCATGAACAACAACATTGATTGCCACTTCATTTATTAGCACATTCTCCATGGGTCTCTTTGTCTTGTTTCCATTGGCACCCTTCATCAGTTGACAGACCTATTCACCAAGGGGCATTAATTATTTGGCACACTTCCACACTTTAGTTTCCAAACTCAAGTGGGTTCCCTCTACCTCTACTTGAGTTTGAGGGGGTGTTAGCATAATTAGCATGATTACCACATTACTATTTTATTTGGCATAGTTGTAATTAATTGTAATTTCCCTATTTCTCTCTTTTATTATGTAATCATTATTGTACAGTGAAAGGGTTATAAATAGGCATAGCCTATTCTAATTTAGACACTGAATAATACACAGTTTCCTTTCAGTTCTCCTTTTCTCCCTGCTGTCTTTATCAAAAAGATTTTTGATGGGCCTTTGTGTCTTGTTATCAGCGTTACTTTGGGGGCCAAAGAAGAAAGCCTAAGAGGAAGTTGAGAATAATAAGCTGATGGTGAAAGAAGATGAAGGAGGAAGGTTAGTTATTGGGGAAGCCACGTGGCAAGCTATGAATGGTGAGAGAATAGTGGGTTAAATGTGGAAAGAAGATTCGGGAATGTTGTGATGATAGAAGGTGGTTATATAGCAGGAAAGGGAAATGGGATAAGGATGCATGAATTGAGCTAATTTTGGATAAGAATATGGGGAACTCTAAGGTCTGGGTTGCTGATCTTAGGGGGAGCTAGGAGTGTTTTACTTGTTTCTTTGTCTGCAAAATTGTCTTGATTTCTACATTTTATGTCTATTTTTCTGCAATTGCTGTACTAAATTGTTGGTAGGAGCTTGCCTCCCTATTTACTTTAATATAATTTTCTGGTTCCATCAATTTCCAAAGGTTCTCTTTGCCCAAAATATAGGATATGTCTACAAATGTTGTTAAAATCGAGATCTTAAGTAAAATCGGATGGGGATTAAAAAATCTTAAAACGTAAAATCATAATGTAAAAAAATAGTAAAAAATCGAAAAAAAACGTAAAAGCGTTTGGAATATTAGTAAAATCGTTTTGATGAAAAAAAAATCGTAAAAACGTAAAATCGTAGTGATAAATCGAGATTTTAACAACAATGGTCTACATTTATGATTTTTCAATGCTGTTGTGCTTGTGGTTGTTTTCAAGGAACTTTCAGTTCTTATATACAGACATTGGACAGTTTCGTTACATGTTAGAACATCTTTGGCTCTCTCCCCCTTTTCATATTTAGGATAATATCTCATCCTCCTAGCTGTGTTATTCTCTTTTCTCTCTAAACACCTTTTTTATTAAAAAAAACCAAGAAAAATACCATAAGTTGACACATGCAAACAAATATCACCAAAGCACGCAATGCTTAATTGTCCTCAAGCAGGCAACTCTTAATTTAAATCTCAGAACCTTCATCCTGATAATGAGGAGTTGAGGCATATGAAAGAAGTGAAACGAATCTGAACAAGAACAGAGTACATGAATATAGAGAGAGGGAAGCAAAAATACCCAAACAAAATACCAGATTCCAAGCCATAAATGATTTCCTCAACGACATCGTATTCCATCTGTATAACTTAAAAACGTCAAGCAATAGAAGAACAAAAAACAACATAGCTCATTAAATCACTGTATACTAGTGTTTGTAATGAAAATAAACACATAAATCTGAAGATGTTCCAGCATGATCATAAGATGAATTACCATCTCTTGTTCTCTTCGCTGATGCTTGCATATTCGAAGCCACCCATTAAGCATTATCTGTACAAGTTTTCCTAACAATTAAAATAATAGCAATGTCTAGAAGATAGTAATATCACTTTGTAACAATGGTGAACTCATAGTCTTTTATAGTGAAGTTGATCAAACCTATAAAAAATACCATTAATGAGCATTGTAAAATTGTAACCAATAATCTTCAAATAGTGCTACCATGTTAATGAAAAGAAAGGCATAATGCATTCCAAGAGACCAGCAAAATGCCTTACTGTTGGCTTCAAAAGGAATTTGGTGATTATTAGAGATGTGATATAAAACCATTCATGTTTTTTGGCTTAAACTTTTGGGAGAATTGGTTCATGATATAGTATTAGAGCCTCTATGATCACTACCAAATGGTCTAAAGTTCGGCCCTTGCCACTCTCATTCTTTTAATAAAAAAAAATAAATTTCAGCACAAGATAGGTGGGGCCTATGCATTGTTCACATTTTATGTTCAAAGAACTCTTGCGTGAAGGGGAATGTTATAGATGTAATATAAAACCATTCATATGTTTTCACCTAACAACTTAAGCTTCTGGGAGAGTTGGTTAGATGAATGACATGAATAGATTCAAGTTTTTTAGATCCACGGGGAAAAACAGAGTTCATGTGAAAATGACCAGGACAAATGGATTATCACGTAATGAAATTAGGTTATGCACTAGGTTCAAGGAAAAATAATACTCCAAAGAAAAAAAGTGGGAAAAACATATTACCAAGTAATCAGATGAGACTTTTCTCATTCAAATGACGATTATAATTTTAAAAACATATACAACTTCATGCATGGACTATATGCCACTATTAAGTATGAAATCTGGCATTCGTATACACTAGATTCAAGGCCAAATATGAGTTTGGCAACCACGCCATGTATAAGCTTTGAGTTTAATAATAGAATATCATTATTTCTTCTTTCACAATGACTTCGAGCATTTCCTCACAAGCTCATTAATATAGCAAAATCAAGGAACACAAACAACATCTAACCAAAATGCTGAATATCTCTGAACATAAAGCAGTTGACTATAAAATAAGTTGATTCATAAGACAAGGTACCTACAAACAAGGTGAAAACAACAAATGCCAGCCATGGTATATGAAAAATAGATAGAGCAACCGCCTCTTGCTCCTCACCTCCAGCACCAACTCCTAAATATAGAAAAACATATAATAGTTAACCAACAGCGTCACACGAACACAAGATCATATATATTAATACAATCACACTTGCAGCGCAAACTTAGTCTTCATAGAAGCCAGGTAATAAAAAAATGAGGAAAACAGAAAACTCCAGAAAATTTCAATCCATTGCTCAGATACTCAGACACATGAGTCACATTACTTTTACTATATGCAGTTCCAAATTCTGAACTAAAATAACAGCTAGAAAACTCATTAGCACTCTCATCATAATCAACAAAATGAGTTGTCAAAAACCTCACCAAATTTTTCTGAATTTGACACAAATATTTTCTAATAATTAACCCCCCACAACATCGTTGCCCGTTGTGTCTAAAGGAAGCAGAATCAGCTAAACACAATGCTCTATGGCAATTAAAAACTTACATTACCTATTGTGCCAATACTTGCCAAGGTAATGCCAACCCAATCAACAGCATTCATGACTTCCTTGAGATAAAAATGAGAAAAGATTGAAAGAATTGCTAGTCCACAGCCAGAAACTGGTTGGATAACAGAGACCTATATTTCAGAAAAGAAAACTACCAGGATTACCAATGTCAAAAACCTAAATAAAAACACTAGAACAGCATGCTAAGGGTAAAAAAATCCCTGTAAATTTAGTGTCATTTTTTTTTTCACCACTTAGGCATAGGCTATAGCACTTACTGGAGCCAGAGACAATGCCCTTAACATCAATAATGCCCCAAATATATCCATTAGAAAACCTATAACCCAGGTTTTGTTTAAAGCATACGCCCTTATGACCTGCAAGCACAATACGATCAGTAACCAAACAGTGACTTACTGGTCACATAACCTTAGATGAAAAAAAAAAAAAATGTTACACATGCAAATTTAATCCATTTCCATGTTCTCGCTCAAATCTTACACATGCATGGAAAATGTCCAATTTCACAATTACAAATTAAAACGAATGGACACCAAATAAATACAACTTAACAAAATAACAACAACAACAACAATAATAATAATTTCAGAGACACCCATATGTTTCAAATGATAAAGTTATAAAAAAAGATGAGATCTTGAATGGTAACCAAATCATGCATATTAATAAATAAATAAATTTCAGACATGCCTTGAGCTTGAAAGAGAGAGGGGGAAGAATGATAGTGCCCTTTTTCTGAAGGATCTTTCCGATGTTGTTGCCGGCGGTCGCAGCCACCGTCAACAGAATGGATTCCCACATGGCAGTGTCTGAAAATGTTCAAAACTTTTCTTCCTCTTTGGACAGCTAACTCTCTGTTCTGTTGCTCTGGTGTCTGGTCTCCTTCAGGATCAGTTACTTTTCTTGTGCCACATAACCTACCTATTCACTTTTAATTTCATAATTAAAATACAAATACCACACACTTTGGACTTTGGAGTTTGGACACCCCAGAGATTAGAGAAGAAATTCTTGTATAGATTTAGTGTTTGTAGCAGGTTCTTTTTATTTAATAACAGAAATTAATATTTCTCATATAAATTTATCTCAGAAATTTGGACAAAATATATTTATCACAAAAAAAGTATTATAATCGTTAGATTGACAAAAATCAACAGTAACTAAGTTAATTGTAAAAGTAATAAATTTTTTTGATGGTAAGTATATTATTTTTCATATATATAAATACGTGTAAACTTATGTTTTTTTTTTGCTCTTCTCTTTGATATGACCTCATTTTTAATATAACAAGCATCAAATCGTTAGGTAGTGTTTGGTTGAAGGTTTATTTTAGGATTGATGGGAAAGTGTAGGTGGATATTGGAAAATACCACGTTTGGTTCAGGTTTTTTCAAGAAATACCAGACAAATAGGATAAATGAGAAAATGACTTTTATGTTGATTTTTAGATGAAATTCACTGTTACAGAATACCACTTGAGATGTGGTATTGTGAGATGACTGGGGAAGTGAAAAAACAGGTGCAAAGTTTCTCCCGAATATAGATTTTGCATATTTAAATAAATTTCTCTGGTAATATTTGGGTCAACCAAACAACTTTTTTTACATTTTCCTATCAAACTCACTTTCCAACCATTTTCCTAGTAAAAAAATATTTCTCCCGAATCAAACAATACCTTATGTTATCCTTACAGATTCAAAAGCTAAATAATTTACTAATACAATGTAAAAAGACATGTATATACAGGGTAGGCGTTCAAGGAGACTATCAACTTAATAATTGACATTTTATGTAAAATTAGAACCCGGATAAAAAATTATGAAATATAAAATTATAAAAGTATTTAGAATATTGATAAAATTAATTATAAAAATCATAAAAATATAAAATCATAGTAATAAATCAAAATTTTAACTACCATATTCTATATAAATAATTTGTGCACAATCACATGTGGTGCTTTGCAAGGGCTAATGCTCATCTTGCATTGCCTAACACTGGCGCACTTGAGTTTTGCATAAATAAGTGATATTCGACTTAAATGCATGTATTCTTTATATATATTTTTTTCACATTAAATTAGTAAATTATTTGCTAATAGAATTAATTGAGTAAAATAATTCTGATTTGCATTATAGAGATAAAAAGTTGTTTTGTAGTATGTATCAACACGATATTAATTCTTATTAAATATATGTTTGTCGGTGAGGATATTAATAATGTGCGAACTGTTTCTAGTACACAAGTTAAATATATTAACATTATATAAGAATTTAATTACTTCAAAAAGATCAATTTTGGACTAAGAAGTATTGATATTTTAAAACGGTTATTCGATCATTATGCATACCTTTTTTGTTGTTGTAATTTTTTATGTTTTTAATTAATTTAAAAAAAAATTGTATCAGTAAAAGTGAGATATCATAAATTCATGATAATTAGAGAAAGGATAGTATTTTATTGTGTCCACAGTGATTAAAATTGAATTATAAAATACTGATGTCTTTATGGTGTTTTATTTTAACATTATACTAATTTTATATATTATATCTTAATCATATAATAGTTTATAATTTTTAAAAATGATCTTATTCACTGGTTTATGTGATATCTTGTACATGAACCTGTGTTTCTTAACTTTTTGAAAATACTTAGTAGTTTGGTAGAGAAAAAGAATATTCTTTAGTGTGAAAAGGAATAAACTTATAAATTGAAAGTTAAAAAGAAAGAAATATAAGGTGTAATAAGATTAATATATAATTGGTTTTAAGCATCATGTGTGTATATATATATATATATGGGGAAAATATTTCTGCAGCCACTTTAGATAAAGTTATCTACATCTACTTTTTTTCAACTAAGTACGACCGGTTGTACATTAAAAGTGCATTTTTTCTCTCCGCCGCGTCAGCCGACAGTGTCTGAGGAGAGAGAAAAAAAGAGCAGCTTTATTGTTATAACTAAGTACGACCGGTCGTACTTAATTAAAAAAGGTAGCTGTAAATAATCTTATTTAAAGTGGCTGTAAAAATACTTTTATATATATATATATATATATGCATATATATATTTTTATTTATTTTGATAATAAACTCATTTCGTTTTTAAAGAGATATATTTGACATCAACTTGATGGATGAATACATCGAAATGATTATTTTATAAAAAAATGCAATAATAAATTAGTTTTTAATATAATATTTTTACTTTTTTAATACAAATAAAAATTGAATACATAAATTAGTATTAATTTACTCAAACCTCTCGTTATTAGATTAAACCTAGCCGGTGGTTATAACATTTTTATTATTAAATTATTTTTGAAGGGCCAAATCAATAGTATTAATTATCATTAAAAAATTAATTTTGATTCCATTGATAAATTAAAAAATAATATGATATTGTATATTTGCCCGAGTTTTTACATTTATGTTTTAAGATTTTATTAATCTTATTTTTTATAAGATATTGTAGAGAGAAAATAGATAGATTTCATAATTATAAAAAAAAAACAAAAAACAAAAATAAAAGTAAGAGAACATAAAAAAAAAAGTTATTTTACCCTATGTTTTATGACATTAATTAGTTATACGAAACTTCATGTTATAATAGCATATTCCTCCGTCTGGTTGCTGGTGGTCCCCACATCACCTGCCACTAAAAGCTACTCCAATAATTTTATTTTATTTTAACGTGCTACTCCAATAATTTGCACTGTTCTTTTAATTGCTTGCTTCACGCAACAACTAATGATTGGGGGAAAAAAAACAAGTTCAAAATGACTAAATTAAACTCACGATAAAATTTTAGATGTTGTTATAACGTATTAATTCAACTCAAAAATTTAAATTATTAAATAAAAATAACTTAATAATTTTATTCTTCTTTAACATATTTTTTTACATAGAAGTTCATTGAACTTAAAAGCTAGATAATACATAAGTCATTTACTTGTGTTAAGAAACTTCGTAAAATTTAATTAATTATTAATTAAATAAGAGATAGTGAGGACCAAATTCATAACACTAAGACTCTGATACCATATAAAAATTTAATTCAACAAAAAAATTTAAGTTGTTAGATGAGGTGAGGTGGGGTTACCTTAATAATTTTATACTTCTCTAATACTTATAATGCATATATTTTTAATCTATTTTTTTATGAGTGTAAAATTGATGGAATCCTATTAAAAATTGTAAATGGATTTAAAGTTTTTAAAATTATTTTAGATAATTTTATTTAATATTCATTAAATATACACACAAAAATGTGTGGGATTCATGTGAAAAAGAGAAAAAAAATAAAAAAATATGAATCTGTTATTTTTATGAGTATATTTTGATGAATATTAAATAAAATTTTCTAAAATAACTTTAGAAATTTAAACTCATTGTAAATATATATAATGAAGGATAGCGCCAACAAGCAATTGAATGAGTTGGTACTTGTTATGTTCTTTCGGCTTAAATAGTGATTTTGAGTTTGAGGAGTTACAAATATGATAACTAGAGTTTTATTGCCTCTGTGGTATTCTTCTCTGCTTGTTGATTGAAATCAATCAAACGGTGAAGAAATCTAAAAAAAAATATTGAAGGATAGCCATAAAATTTTCTCATGCTGAGTGAAAATTTTAAGAAGAGAACATCATTTTCTCCGTGAATGTGCATGGGTCGAACAGAACCGAATTTTTTGAAAAATCGAATCGAATTAGTTTAAATGGTTCGGTTCAATTTAAAACTGGTTCGGTTTGAAAGTGATTCGGTTCAATTGGAAACGGTTCGATTCGGTTCGGAATCGGTTTGGGCTGACTCTATTTTGAAAAGAAAAAAAAATTAAAATTTAAAAAATAAAATTATAAAAATTAATTTGATTCGGTTTGAAAACGGTTCGGATTTTAAACTGGTTCAAAAAATCGATTCGATTCATGAACTAATTCTTTAAAAATCAGTTCGGTTCATGAATTAATTTTTAAAAATTAATTATTTTAAGGACAGTTCGGTTTGGTTTATGATTCAGTTCATTTTTTTTATTTTTTTTTTGCGTATCCCTAATTTTCTCAGGATGTCTATGATCCATTTGATTTGATGTTGTCAGATTGTGTCAGATGGATATAGATTTGCCTGTGAAATTGGAATGACATAACTGACATTTCAGCATGGAAATAGACATACAAAGTGATTTACCATTTCCACTAATGAAAATTGAAACCAATTTTATTAGCGTGGTTACTCAGTAAACAACAATATTTTTTTTAGAGATATTTCAATTGCATTATCACTTTGAAATTAGTCCGATCAAGATAAATTTTAAAATTAAAATTTTAAACTCTTTAAAAAGATAATACTGAAAAAGATCCAACAGATGCGCTGTTGAATTTCTTTACACCAATTAACCTACCATCCATTGGTAGTAAAGAAGCATTTTAAAGCAGATATATATATAGATAGCATAACTCTTAACATGAGTGAAAGATAGAGGGAAAATGCATACATACAAAACGTCTAAGATCATGAATTAGTAACTGCATTCAATCTTCAAAAAAATCCCAATTGTTTCGAATTTTCTCTTTTGGAATGGAATATTTACAGAATCACCATGAATAGGATGAAGCTATTCGTTTTTCAAAACTAATCTGTTTATAAACAGAGGCTTGTAAGAGCACAGACTACAAAAACCTCCATAAATGAAAACAGCAGACAGCAGCACACACATGATTTCATCTTAAAAAATCACAAATAACAAAATTAGAAGATCTATCATGAATCACGACCCAATAAAGTAACATCAATTTATAAACAAACACTTAAGCCACCTCAAGTACACTTATCATAACCCATTAACCTACAAATTCTCCTCGTGAACAGAAAACTCAAAAATTTGTAAACAGGAAATACAAACTGTGAACAAAATAAATAATAGCAACTAAATCACCACCAGCCATAAACCACTTTCCAGTACCTATCCTTAAGCCACCTGAAGCTCTTCCTGAAGGAACCTTTCACCTTCCCCTCAACAGAATACATTTTATAACCGGCAACCCTCTTCTTCCTTTGAAACTCAGGATCAGCAAAGCTCCAAGACTTGTTGGAAATGCTTTTTCCTTTCTTCAACTTCACATCCTTATTAGGAACCATTTGAGTTTGTGCATAGGAAACGCTGTAGGACCTGATATCATAAGAAGGCCTTGGTGCTCCATAGTAGCTCTCAATCTCCATCCTTTGCTTATTTCCATAAGACCTTGATCTGTTGTAATCCTCCATAGAAACAACTTGGCATGAAGAAGATTGAAGGGTCTTCTCTCTCTCTTCAAGGCTTTTTCACAAGAGAGAGATAATCAAAATCTGAGGGAAAGTGAGAGTGTGGGGTTCAATTAAGACCATAAAAGCTTGGTATATCACTGTAAGGTTGGAAAATTGGCTGGCTTACCTTTACTTTGAAATTTTATTTATATTTTACGAAGAACGATCGGTTTACAATTTTTTTATATAAATATAATTGGTTATACATGCTTGATTTGTATATGATTAATTAAATATAGTATAATTTGTAAGAATTTATAAATTTATAAATATAATCTTTTTCTTATGAGAAAAAATTCGTTTACAAATTTTTTTACAAATTACATCAAATATACTTTTGATTAGTGTATGACCAATCAATATAATTTACAAGAATTTATAAATAAAAAATTTATAAATATAATCTTTCCCATATTTTATTATATAAATTCTATCATATCCTACTGACTTTGGTGTCTATTTCTTGTCTAGATGGCGTGTTTACTGAGAATCATTTCAAAAGAATCCCATAAAGATTACGGAAACTGTGTATTATTTTAAAAGATATAAAATTGTGTCATTTTAAGTGAGAAAAAGAAATAGATAAAAAAAGAGAGAAAAAATAAACAAAAAAATATAAAGATATGGATCCCACCTTTTTGTGAGAGTGAAAAGATATAAGTTGTGTTTAAAAGCACAAACACTTTTCACAAATATTATTTGTCTAAAATGAAGTTTGCAATACTTTGCATACATCATACATGCGAGCCAACTACTACAAAAGTAACCATCATTATCCAAAGCTAAAGTTTTCAATGTAATGAATCAATTTTCCGAGCTGGGTATGTAAATGTTGACTAAAGTTTACGATTATATTTTAAAGTCTTTATGTCATTAAACATTTGAATTTGAAATTCTTCGTGACGCTATCAAGCATTAAAGAAATAAAATAAAATTAAAGATTTCTAGATAAGAATTACAAAGAAGAATGGCATTAAGGGAGTGTATGACAACCTTTCCGGAATCAATTCTTTTTTAATTTCTGTTTCCGGGAACAGAAATGGATAGGAAACTCGTTTGGTAAAATCGGTTTATTTTTTTGTTCCCGAGATGAACCAGTTTAATTTTTGTGCTGGAGAACAGAAAAAAGAATTCAAAAATTTCTGTTTTTTTGTTTCCGAGCACAAAATGAGAAACACTTATCTCTCTCAATCACTCTCCACCTCTACCATTACCACCACCACCACCATCATCCCGACACGACTGTCGCCACCATTGTCGCCGCCGCCATCGTAACACTAGTGTCGTCGTCACCACCACGATGTCATCGCCACCATTACCATCACCTCCATCCATCACTACCACCATGCCATCGCAACTACCGCCGCCGCCGCCACCACCACCGCCGCCGCCGTCACCGTCACCACTACTGCCATCACTACCACCATCGCCATCACACGTCACTGCCACCATCGCCATCACACGTCACTACCATCACCACGACGCCACCACTACCATCACCACCACTGTCACCAACCACCACTACCATTGCCACAACCACTACCGTCACCACCACTGTCGTTGTCGCCGCCACCAACCACCACCACCATCGCCACAGCCATTACCGTCACCACCACCACCAACACCACGACCACCATCGCCGCCGCCACCACCACCACCACCATTATCACCTACAACCACTGCCACCAACCACCATACCCACCACCATTGTCGCAGCCACTGTCGTCACTCCACCACAACCATCCCCACCATAACCACCGTTGCTGCCACCATTACCACCGCCATCATCGCAGCCACTGCCGACACAACAACCACCACTATCTCCATCATGTCACTGCCACCACCACTACCGTACCGTCGCCGGCGCCGCCACCATCACAACCACACCATATGGAAAGGAAAGTGATGATCCAATTTTTTTTATATTTAATAGGAATTATTTTTTATTATATTATTTGTTGTGTTATCAAACACAATTTTCATTTTCTGAATAAAAATAGAACATGTTATCAAACACATTTTTTTTCTCAGAAACTGTTCCAAGACACAGAAATAGAAAAAAATTATTTCTTTTCAGAAACAGTATTCGGGAATAGAATGATTGTCATGCACACCCTAAGTATTTTATATCTAATGTACACGTCATGTGTTGTTTTCACATTCATTTTTTTTCTTTTAAAATTAACATATTTTTATATAAGCTTACGTAATTAAACACCTACATCTTTTACAATGTAATAATAATGAATAATCAATTTAAACATCATATAATATGGTCAAGTTGAAATGCAATAAGGTTATTTTATTTATATTTGCAATTAATATTGATTTTAATCGTTCTTATATTTATCCTTAAAACTTTAACAACATTATAAGGTGTATTTGAATTTTTTTCTATTACCTGAGCATATGATTAACTAAATTTATAATATAATTATTCAATTTAACAAATTTTTTAATAATTTTATTACAATAATTTATCAAACATGCGCATTACTAATTTAATAAGTCTATGCATCAGATGGAATATTAGTTAAGAAAAATTATAAAATTAAGTTAATTTTTAAATGTGATGCTTTACATAAATAATTTTTATTAAAAAGATCCCTTTCAAATTCACATACTTCTCATTACAATCTTTTTTTCCCCTCACTTTTTTGTCACGTCCATGGTTCTCTTTTGATTCATGTAAACAATTGTGCAATAATAATTTATGCAGGTGGCCATTATCTAGATTGATCTAGAAAATAGCAAAGTATCTATGAACCTTGGCCCACGTGATACTTCTCTCCCTAAACAAGAGGCTACTATTAGGTTGGGTTGGATTTATGAGAATTTGGATCATCAATCTGGTCTCTCTCTTTTGTTTTCTTTTTGCACAACTAATATACCTACTAACTAAAAAAACTAAAGCGGCGTTTGATACAAGAGATTTTTTTTTACTGGGAAGTTACAAAAAAGTGTTTGGTTGACAAAAAAAATTTCGGGATAATTTGATGAAGTTTTCCGAGTTGTTGTTTGGTTGATTGTAAAATAGTAGTAGGAAAAATAACCCCACATTTACTTTTTCATTCAATTAGAGTTGTGAACGTTATTAACAACAGATAAGAAATGGATCTGGGTACCAAACGTGAGCCACCTTGATCTGGGTACTTCAGATGGCGTCGTTGTGAAGCCGTTGTTATTGCCTTCATTCACAGAGACAACAAAGTTCTACACACAAACATTGTTGGACCTTCTCATTTATGGTTTTTTCCATCAATGCGAGTCTCTTCTCCACGCTCGAATTCAAAGCCTTCGCAAAAGTAACTAAATTTATTCTCTTTCTCTCTATTTGATCCTATTTTCTCTGTGTAGAGAGTTGACTCATTGTCCTCGATCCATCCTCTTTTTTTCTCTTTTAAATTTTGCCAGCGTTAATCTTGTTCGTTTCTTTGTACATGCACCTACCAGGTCATTTCACCAACTCGATTTGTTCCAAGATCGTACAATCACACAAGGTTATTTTGGTTCAATATTCGTGGTTCCTTTTCACATCCTCGGGCAAAAATGTATTCCACCTAATCAATGGACTTCCTGCATTGATTGCCGAACATAGCTTCACACACAACAACAAACAACCGGGAAATATTTTTACCCGGGAAGCATTCCCTTTTTTGGGTACCAAACGTCGCATTAAATTTTTCCCAAGTTTGCTTTCCCAGGTTACCAAATATTATTCGGGTACCAAACGCCCCCTAAAGATATATCCTAAGTGATAGTTGTCCATCATGATCATAGCTTAATCCAATGGTCTAAATCTGTCCCTTGCTTTTATCAACTTGGTCATGTGCTCTCTTTTTAACATCTGTAGTAAAAATAATAAAAGAAATCAGTAATTTATCAATATTTTCTTTTTCTTTCTTTTTACTTTACCGGACAATATTGATGCTCAATTAGCTTATTATCCTGCACTTGTAACCATTATTCAGCCCAAATGTTATAAAGACAAGTCTATTAAAATAAACATAATCTATTCCTAACAGTAAACAAGAAAACAAAACAAAACTTTAACTTAACATAAAATAATAATAATCAAGAGTCAACTAAACTGTTACAATAGAACGATTACAAAAGCATTCTTCATTTTTTCATTTCTTTAAAAATATTGCATTATATCTTCATTATCAATCTTATCAAATATATCCCATTCAACATTAGGGGTTGGTTGAGTTGGGCTTATTTTTATCTTTTTTTCTTTCAATCTTACTATTTCTTTTTTTTTTATTTGACCTGAATCACCCACCCCTGTGAAAAAAAATAAAAATTCCCAACTTTGTTTCTGCAAGTGTAGACAATTGCAATAAGATGGGTCTGCCATTGCATGCAGGGTTTAATTGTTGACCCCAATCCTTAGAGAGAGGGGGTCAGGGTTGACCCGGGTCGACTAAGGGTAGGGCAAGGTTTTAAAATACTGCTTTCGAGGTGTAGAAAAACATTAGTGAGTTTTACCTCTAGAAGCAAAGTAGTTTTCATCAGTGTTTAAAAATTCGGCCCGGCCATCGACCCGGCCGAGATCAGAGGTCATGGGGTCACAGGTTCAACCGGGGGATCACGGGGTCACTACGCTGACCCGGTTTTATATATTAAAAAGATATAAACATATATATACTATATGAACATATTAAAAAATAAACCACCAATCATCAAAGATTCAAAATATACTTAACATAATTCACCAATTACAACCTCAAGTTAATGAGATCACTACGCTGATCCGGTTCTGCCTCTTTTGAGAAGGTCTCTAACAAAGGAAACTTTAAAGGAAGTAAGAATGAGTTTTTGTTTTTATTGACGACCATAAAGATTTCATTTGAATGGGTAAATTTTTACCTTTTCTGGAAGATTTATAGCAGCGAGGTGAAGATTGAAGACGTCTAGGTCGCTTGGAAAGAATAGAACGATAAGTTTTAGGTTTGCAAGCATTTTTATTTTATTTTTTTTAATAAAACGATGTTGTTTCATGAAAAAAAAAATTAAAAAGAAAACATGCTCCGACCCCCTCTGACCCCGAGAGTCACTGAAACCCGGCTGGGTTTTGGGGGTCAGAGGGGTCGATGTGCATATAGAGTTCAACTTGTGACCCCAACCTCAGAGGGGAGGGGTCAGGGTTGACCCGGGTCAACCCGAGGGGTGGGATGGGGTTTTAAAACACTGGTTTTCATACGCACCGTCAGTAATCGAATACCTATCAATATACTTAAAAGACCCAATCATTTATCAATTATGCCGGACTTTATTGGTAAGCATTGCCATTTTTTTATGTGTAAGCGTTCGTAAAATAAACGTTATCTACGTGTAAATACTGTATTAATTGATACTTTGACGAGGAAAATATAAAAAGGTATAGCATATTTTAAGGAAAAAACGCCAATTTTTTTTTTTTTTAAAGAGTCTTAATCAGAGTTCTCCTCCTCTCATTCTTTCAGCGTGTCTGGCACTATTTTGGTTAGTTGATGAAATTATTTTTCACCACATAAAGGGCCTTTTGACCTTAGTAGTTCAATTTTAATAACATTTCACCGGAATAATTTCTTGGTGAATAGAATTACCTATGTAATACATATCCACGCGGCATGTAGGGTATCATGCATTGGTAAATATTTGAAAATGCTCAGGTGGGAACAATTGTAGATTCTCCTTTGGACTTCTTCTCAGGCAAATTAACAAAGGAGAGAAAAGTATCAATTAACTCCAGTTATGCACGTGATGGGCTTCAAAAATATTATTTATGTTCTTATCTAGAAAAAATTACAAAAAGTGAACTCCCGCTAAAAATATGGACAATAATTGTATGAAATGTGATTATTGCCTACATAAATGTGAAAAAGTTTTCTTTCATGAGTTTCTTTTTTTGGTAATTTTCCCTTCCAGGTTTTGAATTTGATGGATATGAATTTTCTTACTCCAAACTTTTTTACCCCAAAACAAACATGATCCATGAACATCCCTAATGTACTCAACCACTAGTTTTTTACTTCATTTTAAAGAAAGTGAATTTCCATACTACAAAAAATGATACCAACAACAGACAGACTAAAATAAACACAAAAATATTTACAAAAAAATAAATAAATAAATAAACACAAAAAACATAGCAATTAGTAGGTTTTATAGTTAATTAATTTAAGATAGAGATTTTTAAATTACATCAAAATTCTAAACTGTTTCGTAGCATTGAACTAATTTGCTTGTTGACAACATTGAATGTGATTGTCCAAAACCAGAGAAAATGACATGGATGAGCTCCAAAAGGGTGGAAAAATTAATAATTCCTCCTTTCCTTTGCACGCTTCTTCCGAGAATCCCGACCTTTAATCTTCCACTTTTCATTCCCAGCTGGACGATTCTGTTCTTCAATTTCTCGAACCTTCCGCTTCCTAAAAAAGTTGATAAACAATAAGGGAACGTAAGTAACCTAAAAAGCACAGGAACAAGCATGCTACTTTAGCTAATTGTACGAAGCTTTTTTACCAAACAACATAACCTAACAAAGTGGTTGAGTAACTTAAAATGGCTTATCAGTTCCACCTTCAATATTCCAACTTCCAACCCACAAGTGGGACTAAATACCGACATACCATACCGTTACGTGCTTGTTTTCACATCATATATTTAGTAGCAGGATTTCCGAAAAAACAAAGACAATAAATACCACTTCCCCCTAAAATGTGTTTTGATTTGATTTGAATGTTATTTGGTTAAAGATTTAACCGTTTCTGACATTCATTCTCTAAGGTCATCACATCCAAGCTGACTAGGACATGCATATATAAAATGAATGAATAACGTGCTAATTTAAACTTGACCAGGCACCTATGCCTTCTACTGCCAATCTTACCTGTAAGCTGCAAGGTTTTGATCAGAAAGCAACTCATCTGCAAGCGATGCTTTTCTCTCCTTCTTTGTTAATCTGCCTGAGAAAAAGTCCAAAGGAGAATCTACAATTGTTCCCACCTGAGCATTTTCAAATGATCCCCAAAAATTAGACCTGTTGAACAGAAATTGAATTTTGATGGAACAAGTAACAACCCTGAACTTGCCTGAAAATACTTGGGAAGTGTCTTTGATTTTGAATCACCCTTCTTGTAGTGACGCTTGGGATCAATGGCACCCCTCAACTGTAACCATCAATATATATACATATCAAAGTGTAAGGATTCTATTTCCCAGAAATGAAAGCATAAGAACTGGTGTATGAAACAAAATTAGATATCTTGACACAAGTTGATAGATACATTGAAATCTGTGTTGTTAGCAAATACTATATAAATGTCTAGAAAGATTTATTTATTTTTAATGCTATTAATATGAACTTTGGTTTCAACATTTCCCATTGCACTCTCAATGTGCATATCCATGGCCTAAAGGTTTAACATGCCACTATATAGAATAGTTTACATCATTATAGTTTATTTCACCACATCAGGAAAGTCTCCGGAAGTCTTCTAAGCCTAACTAAAAAATATTCTAAACCAACATATAAATTCAGTTCATCAGATACACAACAGTCATTACTCACTACAGATCAGAGCTAATAATTATTTATTTGTTGAAGCAAAAGCCTAAAGTGAGCAGCTGTCTATCTACCAATCACTGAAAACCCTAATTCTATCAACAGGAAGCGTGACACCTGGACTATGAGAAGGGGGCTGGCTTGTAAGGCAACAACAACCCATAAGAATTATGAAAAGACTTAAATTGATAAGAGGCATTAATAAGAAATTTTCATTCTTCAAAAAAATGCTCTTCTCAATCCTTCTGTGACTATAATACCATATCTCTTGAAGAAATCAGCATCACCTACTTGTCTTTCATTCTTTCTTATCATTTTGGATGCAAGTGTGTGCATGTCTAATGCTTGTCAGCTCAATCTAAGCAAAATTCACAGGAGATCATATTGGGCAATGAAATGAGCATATTTGATATGGTCCGAAACATTAGAGGTCCTCAGCCGTTAAAAATATATACCAGAAAGATCATATCAACTTCACCAGAAGATAATGTTAGTTAGCCAAGGGATTAGTTATTATAGCTGGGCACTTTTGAATCATTTGATTTCCGATAAGTTGATAGGATTAGGATTGTTAGTCATATTATCTCTTTTTTAGTTATCCTATCTTTTTTGCTGATAGGCTTTTATCTTTAAATAGGAGGAAACTAATATCCAGCAGGCAGACTAAAATTTGTTTTAAGTCTAGGCAGAGAGAAATCTAAGAAGAGAGCAGTGTGCTCCTTGAAGAGATTGATCTCTTGTTATTTCCCTTTTATTATCAATAAAACAACCCAGCTCTACTAATGCCCTGTCTCTTACTCTATTAAATTCTACAAACTACTGTCTCACTAACCAGAGTTGTATCACTATTCCAAATCATTGTGGAGAAGATCTCCAAACTAAAGTACCTTCAATAACTTCAGATCTTTCTGCAACTCAGGGGTGATTGTTTGAGCAGGCATGTTGAACCTGGCAAAGATTTAAATATAATTAGATAATTCCCATTCATAGTTTTCAACAAAAAACAAGAGAACAAACCATAGGAAATAATCAAAATGAACTAAATAAAATTCAGATGAATGAATTTATATTTGATTAATAAAAAGGGCAACTACCACTACACCCAGTTAAGTGGTGTGAAAGTGAAATAGAAAAACAACCAAACAAAAAAGTTTCAACCCTGGTTGCATTCAGAGACACAAACTTGTTTTAGATCATAATTTATCGCATACCAATTCTTCCCAGCAGTGTCTTTAACTTGCTTTCTCAGTAACTTGTTTAATTTTCTGGGATCATTCGGAGGAACAAAAAGCCCATCAACCAGCTCTGAATTCGGTTTCCAAAGTGTCCTACTTGATGCCTCGGGTTGAGATTTGGTATGAGATCCATCATTTGCAACATTTGACGAAGATGGGAATGGCAACTGTGGTTGCCATGAGAGGCCAACCACTGGCTTGCTCTCTGGCATTCCTGAATCACAATGAGATCCCAAAGCCAAAACCATTAGACCTAGTTTTGAAATCGCCCACAAATCCAATACATGAAAGATGGAATAAAAAAAATCCTAAAATTGCATTTAATCATACACAAAAAAACAAGTGAGAAAAGCCAAATACTAGATGGTGTAAATTAAGGACTAAAGGTACAAAAGTTTGGGGTGTATCGCCTAAGATTCTTTAGATGGAGGCGTCTATCAATCAATTTCAATTTTCAAAAATTACGGACGGACAGCAAGGAGAGGGATACCTTAACCTTGAGAATTCAAATGTGTTTGGATTAGGTTGTGCTTATTTATTTTCCGTAACAGTTTTATACACACGCTGAGGAGAGAATTGTGGCTACTGTCTTTCAAATGGGCTAGTCTGAGCCCATTATTTTAAATGGGCAGACATTGTACCAGGATGACCCACTAAAGGGAACCTAATTGGTCTAAACAAGGCTTGGCAATGGAGCGGGTATGTCCGGTTTTTTCCCACCCCGCACCCCTCAAATGAACTTCCAACTCACCCACTGGGTTTTGAGGGGGAACACTTGCAGCTAGGCTTGGCAAAACGGGCCAACCCGGCTCGACCCGGCCCAACCCGCATTCAACCCGTAAAAAATAGGTCGGGTTAGGGTTGGCCCGAAAAAATAAACGAGCCAGAAAACCCAACGCAGCCCGACCCGAGCCGGGTTAGGGTTGGCTCGATAATCAGCTTGCGTGTTGGCTCGGAAAAAAGCTCACGGGTTGGCTCAAAAAAAACTCGCGGGTTAGCTCGAAATGATGCCAGTGGGTTGGCTCGCGAGTTGGTTAGCTCGAAATATTGGCTCGCGGGTTGGCTCGCGAGTTGGCTCAAAAAAATTGATTTTTGTGGAACTAGCCTTATTTGTTCTCCAACACTGCACAAAATTATCAACACTGCCAAAGCTATTGATTGCCTAATGGATAATGGTGTAAAGACAGTAACTAATAAAACATAACCAATAAATTAAGAAATCCCAACATAGCAGTAGACAAACACATTACAAAATAAAAATTGTCCTATGAGTTCCCATGGCCAATACAGTACAATATCAAAATCTAAACATCAAAAAGTACACCATCATCATTAGATCATCTACAAAGTTTCATGACCATTAGATCCCCGTGAAGAACCTAATATATGGGAAATACCATCATCATCATACAAAACACAAACCATAAAATGTAAATAATCAATTAAGGTTACAATGACAAATGAAAATGAAATTTTGATTGAATTGTTAAGGCATACTATTAATTCAGTGACAGAGGAAACAAACCACCCAGACGTTGGAGTTACTACAGAGGGGTTACTACAATTACATAACACATCCAAAGACAAAACCCCTGGCATGCATGAGACAATTACAAATAGTGCACTCAGCAATCACAATACTGAAGTTATATATGTCTCCATTTAGGCATTGGATTTCATGCATCATGATAGAAAACGAGACACAAAAGAATTATCTATATAATACATTTATAAAAGCTGAGCAGCCTTTAATTATATAGTTTTTGCACAAAAGGACATATAATTATGTTAATTATAGACATATCTAATACTGGTTTTGTCCCCAAACAGGTCCAACCAAGTATCAATACCAGTTATGTTAATAGGTAGTAACAGAGTCTACCTATTAACATAACTGGTATTGATACTTGATTGGCAATGAAGGTTACTTGTTCCTATGGGCCATTCTCTACTTATATACTTTCTTCACATTGATTTCTCTATTGCAAATTTTCAAATAATAAATAAATGCAGAAATGAAAGGGTATCATTACATCTTCACAACCTCTTTATGGTGCTTAGTCATAGGCTATTGCAAAGGGGTTTCTTTGTCAGACATGCAAGCAAAGAGATTAGCTAGCTTTGCTTAGCGGATGAGTTTTCTTATGTGTTCTTCTCTTTTGTAATTTTTTTTTTAAATTTTCTTTAAAGAATTAGAAGAAAACCTTCAAAAAAATTCCCAAATTGAGGTGGGAAAAGTAAGGACTCTTGATAGAGCTTTCCAGGCAGTTATTCCCTTCCCCTCTATTCCTTTCTAAAACTCTCAAACATGAAAACTACATATTCCTACCTTCAAAAAGATCATGCTTATTTACATAGATCTGACTGCATCAATGTTTTGGCATGAAGAAGTTATTGTTTCCTTCAAAAACTGCTAAAAAGAACTGGTATAAGCTCCATGAGAGCAAGTACTAACCATCTAGCCGCTGAACATCCCTATTTTTATCTCATCACAATTAATTTTTTTAAAAGGCACACACCAGATTTACTCTTGGGTCCTTCTACATGTCCTTTCTCTTCACCCCTTTATCATTTCAACTACATGTACCTTTTAGTTCATCTATGATACAACTCCAGGCAAAAAGGAAAGAGGGGAAAACAAACAGCTTCTACTCAACATACTCTATAAGTCCAAGTATATTTGAGTTCCTGTCTCCTATCAAAGAGAAATAAAAACAAAATAACAAGCTAGCAACATGCACTTCTATAGTGCATAGAACTCGGGACCTATGTTAAACTATGCGCATACACAAATGAAAAATCATATAAAAATAAAAGGACTACTCCTCCTAAAAAGAGCAGAAATAGAGTAATAAAAAAATAAACAAATAAATAAAGGGATTGAAGTAAGATGACAAAGTTCATCTCCCAAATAAACAGAACGAGAACAGCAATGATTAACACAACCTATTTGGCCATTTGGATAAAATTAACAAATAAATAAATGCAAATAAATACTTATATTTTCAGAAAACAAAATGGGAAATATAAGTAGGGAACCTGCAAGCGATCCAATAGATTTTCAGAAACAGTATGAAGTAAAGGGTCGTTTGAGGGCATCAACCATGCAGCTCGGTCGCGCTGCAACAACAACGCAAATAATGTAAAACCATTTGAATTGCAGTGAAATTTTATAGATTAAAAAATTGAAAAAGCAAAAAGGGAAAAAACCTGTTTGCGCAAAATGAAGGGTTCTTCGAAGACCTTACCTTACCTTACTGTATAAAAAGCAGTTTAGCTGATGAACAAGGGTTCTTCGATTGCATTCTTCGAGTGAAATGGGTTCGGTTGGGCAAAGGAGCGACTGGACTGACGATGAAATGCTAAAGGGGGCAGATTAGCTGATTAGGGTTAGACAAAGGAACGAAAGAAATTGACGACGATGTTTAGCGTAGGGCAGTTTTGTAATTTCGATATTATTATTTTTAATTAAAAAAAATCAACCCGCGAGCTAGCTCGTTTGACCCACGGGCTGGCTCGTTTAAGTCAGGGTTGGATCGGTCAGATTTAATCGAGTTGACAATTCATTTAAGCTATCTCGACCCAACTCATTTAGGACGAGTTGACTCATTTTTGCCAACCCTACTTACGGCCATCACACTAGTAAAAGTGCAAAACATAAGAACCCCGTCTGCCTCGCACTCTCCTTTATTTTTTATTTTATTTCCCGAGCACTAATCAAAATAACTGCTATCAGAATTCATGAAGTCAACTTGCTTTTCAATATCTTAAAGAGCTTGAATTTTATTTGGAGGGGCCATGAATCTAGAAAAGATCTGCCTAAGTTTATTAACCAAAATCAAGAAATGTAAATAATTTAAATCAGACTTGCAATCAAGAGATATATAGAATTACAAATAATATATAAATTAGCCTTTTGGATCATACTTTCTAGCACTGATTAATTTTTCCTAATCCTCAAACACTATCAATATAGTCACTATGTAAATATAAAAAAATCTAAAAGTATTAATAAACTCAAGAACTCATAATTATCTTGTTGAAACGACATAGAATAAACACACTAACAAACAGTGGCAGAGCCATGTTATGCTTAGGTAGGGCCTGAGCCCCAGCTACATTTCAGTAAATTTTATTTATTATATATAATTATATAAGTAACTATAATTGGCCCCTATCTCAAATTGTGAGTTGGCCCTACCTAAATTTATAACAGTGGTAACAGACGAAGATTTTGAGCTGCTTTGTGTGTGTGTGATCAGATAACGCTTTCTTCTTAATTTCTTATTCTTCTTTCATCTTTTTTTAATTAGGATTTTCTTCTAACCTTTTTTTTTCTTATTCGTACTCACCACCCTGAACCCACCCATTATGCGACAATGTATGATGTTTTGTTCCTTTCTCAAGATTTTACAGATACATGTTCTTAGAATATGCATTGGTAATTATATTATCCGATGGAAAAAAAAATTATTTACATTTTTGAACATTGTAAAAGAGAAAATTTTCGTCTTTGATGACCATAATTATTTATTGAGTGTTTCAAACATGAGTGAAATTCATGTCTTTTTTTATTTATTTACAACTTTTTGTATGGTTGTTTTATTGATTTTATTTCTTTTGAAAAATGGAGTGTTGTTTTACGTTTACTTTTTAAAAAAAAAAGTTTAATGTAGAGCTACAGTTGCTATTGGTAATGAAATTAAATTGTTTCTTAGTGTTATTTGTATTTGATTTCACAACAGGAATAAAAATTTTGGTGATTAATCAGTGAAAACTGTTAAAGAGAAAATTCAATGAAGATATATGTATATATATGGAGTATTAACATTTCTTGTACATACCCATTAACAAATTCTTTGTTTTTTTGTATTTTAAAAAAAAAATATTAGAATATTGATTAAATGATTTATGTGGATGTAATGTCATTTAAATGATTTTAGACTTTTATCGTTGATTGTTCCATGTTTCTTTTTAATTGAGAAGTTTGCTCTGTCCCTCTATGTTCATGTTCTTCACAAGTTACAACTAGGGGTGTAAATAGGGCAAGTTAGGCCTGCATGCTTGGGCTTTAATAGCATAAATTTATCTAAAATATTTAGAGCCTATACGGCTATACTGACCTATTAGCCTATTAAAAGCTTGATTTATTGGTTTGGCCTGACCTATTATAAAAAACTAAAAAACCTAATGCGGCCTGTAAGGCCTACCAAGTTGCAAACTAAAAGGGTGTACTGGATTAGGATTTCAGAGAATTTTAATGGATTATTTTTGGACAAGAAAATCCATTGGTATTCAATTAGAATTTTAAAGGATTGAAAAAAAGTCATGTGGTATTCGATTAGGATTTTAAAATATTAATTTAGACTCCGTCCATATCCGTTGGTATTCAATCAGGATTTTAAACAAAGGAAAAACAATATTATGGTATTCAAAAATCTGACGATTTTAATGGAATTTTCATTGGTGTGGATTTCGTGAGACTTTTTAGTGAGAAATATAAATAAGATGTCTCTCTCACAATCTCACCCTAACCCCTAGGATTTCTTGAGATTTCTCTACTGCAATGTCTCACAATCTACTCTAGCATTTTCTCAAAGTCAAGGTATGTTCTTTTTTGACTCTCATATATTTTCTCAGATTTGGGTATTCCTCCTTCATGATTAATGATGTGCTTCATTTTTTTTTACCAAGAGTTTTATAGAGTTGACGATAAACATGTATCTATTCTCTAAAATTGAACTAATAAGCTTACCATATACATTCTTTGCCAACCTTCTTCTTTTGTATATCGTTTGGATTATAATGAGTATAAAATCCTAATATTCTTCGTGTTTGGCAATGATACATATTAAAAATCTTAATAATCCGGTGGCAAGCTCTATTTAAAATCCTAATAATCTTTGTGTTCAATCTTCGTCATGCATCATTGAGAAATGTAACTGAGAGGATATTTGGTATATTTAAATCACGGTTCACAATTTTTAAGTCAGCACCTCCGTTTCCATTTAAAACACAAGCAGAGCTTGTGCTAGCATGTGTAGTACTACATAACTTTCTTCGCAAAATATGTCGTTCAAATAAATTTTCAATTGAATCAGTAGATGCATCTTCATCTTCAGTATCACCAGTTAATGAAGAAGATAATTTTTAACTCATTGGTCAAACCCAAGAGCAGGAATAAGAAGATGTTGATGTGTGCAGGACTAGTATAGCTTTAGATATGTGAAGAGATGATACTTAGTAATTTTGAATGTTTGTTAAAAATTATATTAAGTTTTACTAATTGAAAAAATTATAATAGGTTTTACTTTTTTATTAATATCATTGTATTTCTTTATTATTATTTTTATTGACTCTTGTAATTTTGAATGTTTGTTAAAAATTTATATGATTTTTTATAATTGTATAAATCCATATTGTCCTTTCAAATCTTATAAATTCTATTAAAATTTATAAGATTTTTTATCTCAAAAAAGTCTTTTAAAATCATAATTTAATACACCATCTAAAGTTTATAAGCCCAAACCAAATTGAAATGTAAAAGATAAAAAAAATTATTCACAAAGATCACATGAAATAAATTTTCTTTAACATCACATGAAATAATGTTCATAAAGATCACATGAAAATGTTCATAAAAATCACATTAAAATTTCATATATGTATATATACATATAATTTTCACTTTCTTTACAAATTGAATTTTATATTATATTTTAAATTTTAAATAAATATTTATTATTTGTTAAAATAACATTAATCCTATTATTTTAAAAATTAATGTTACCAATTATGATCTCAGAATATGTTTTTAAAAAAAGAATATATATCATAAAATATATTATATTATTAAAAAAATAAAAGGTATGTGTAATTATGATAAATATTTTGATGTGTCAAATTTGTTGGCCCCGACTAAAATTAAATTCTGGCTCCGTCACTACTAACAAAGTTGTTCGCCGGAGTTGTATTATGTCAATAATATAATTTGAATATTATACAATCTCTTATTGTTCTCCACAATGGAAAGAAACAACTTGGCAAAAAAAAAAAAATCTATCAAAAAAATCATATAATTAACCTTGAAGGTTATTGCGACGCAGCAGTGGCTTAGGTATTGGCTCCTCTTCCTTCTCCAGCAATATGCAACGACTGGGTTGAGAACGGCTGTTGTAGCGAACGATGAAGATGGCAAAGCAAGCCCTCTCCGATACTGCGAATTCAACTTACTTAGGATTTTTTATTTCAATTTCACTTTTCGCAAGCTTAATGTGTTTTTTATAATTGATATACGAGTTTGTGAATACTTAGGGCACCGATAAATTAATCATTACATAGATATTCATCGGGAAATTTTAAAGTGAAAGTATTAAATATAGGAAATCATAATCATATAAAGATGAAAATAAATATAAAATATTAAATATTGGGAATCATAACCATACAAAGATAGAAATAAATATAATCGTTGGATCAACATAATCGATCTAACGGTGAAATTGATTGGTAGTAACATTACTTGGTTGTTACAATATCATATCTCATATTTACCAACAATTTATAATTATTACATTTTATTAATTTCTATATTATGGTTAGATTAATGGGAATATGTTGAGACTCGAGAGGTTCAATCTAAATTGCATTTAATAATAAATTAGTGATAAAAAAATGGGTCATAAATTAATATATATGGAGATGGGTGGGTTATGTTATTTATTACTTTAATGTTTTTACCTTTGTAATCTTTTTTCAACTGTTAAATTAGACTCAAATTAATAGTCCCAAATATCACAAAAATAAATTACACCTAGGGTGTGTTTGGTATAGGTTTTTATTTGGGTTTGATGGGAAAATGTGGGTGACAATTGAAAAAGATCATGTTTGGGAAAAAAATACCAGGTAAATAGGAAGCCTAGGAAATGAGTTTTGTGTTATTTTTTTGGTGAAATTAACTATTCCAAAATACGACTTAAGATGTGGTATTTTAGGATAGATGGGGAAGTGAAAAAAAGGGCACCAAGTTGTGGACCGAAATGACCCTCACTTGTATGCAGTTGTTCTTTTAAATTTTTTTAATAAGAGGTGTTTTGGTCAATTCAACCTATTTTCCCATCACTATTTTACATTCAACCAAATATACACTTTGCAAACTTAAATACATTTTTCTGATAATATTTCGGTGAACTAAACATCTTTTTTTAAACTTTTCATCAAACTTACCTTCCTATCATTCTCTCATTAATTATGTTTTCCCGGTAAAAAAAAAATATCTCCTCCCCATTGTTAGGGCTAAAGTACTCTACTAGCCTCTAGTTAAATATTTGGACTACTATCAATGAATTAAGTTAAACTAGCCACATGAAATTGGTTTTAAGTTTATAGATTC